AAGTCTCCTACCGGCTTAAGCCAATGCACCCAACCTAGTCAGGTCAGGTCACATTGACTTAAGGGAGGAACACGGCAACCGACCTGGTAGCACAAGCTATTAGGTCCAACTCACACCCACCCACATCCACTCATGTATTTATCCAACCTATTTTTAAAGCTACACAACGTTCTGGCCTCTATAACTGTACTTGGGAGTTTGTTCCACTCATCCACAACTCTATTACCAAACCAGTACTTTCCTATATCCTTCCTGAATCTGAATTTTTTCCAACTTAAAACCATTGCTGCGAGTCCTATCTAGGCTAGATATTTTCAGCACACTATTTACATCCCCTTTATTTATTCCTGTCTTCCATTTATACACCTCAATCATATCCCCCCTAATTCTACGTCTTTCTAGAGAGTGCAGATTCAGGGCCCTTAGTCTATCCTCATAGGGAAGGTTTCTGATACATGGGATCAACTTTGTCATCCTCCTTTGTACATTTTCCAGAGAATTTATATCCATTCTGTAATACGGTGACCAAAACTGTGCAGCATAATCTAAATGAGGCCTAACCAAGGATGTATAGAGTTGAAGAACAACCTGAGGACTCCTATTATTTATGCTTCTTGATATGAAGCCAAGGATTCTATTAGCTTTATTGTGAACACTTATGCACTGTTGTCTTGGTTTCAGATTACTGCTAACCAGAACTCCTAAATCTTTTTCGCAATCCGTAATATTAAGATCTACATTATTTAGTTTATATGTGGCATGGTTATTGTCCTGTCCAACATTTAGAACTTTGCATTTGTCTATATTAAACTGCATCTGCCACTTCTCCGACCACTGCATCAGTCTATTCAAATCTTCCTGGAGTGCTCGAATGTTCTCGTCAGAATGAATTCGACGGCCTATTTCGGTGTCATCGGCAAACTTGCCGATGTCGCTCTTTATGCCCTCATCTATGTCGTTTACGTAGATTGTGAACAGCAGGGGGCCCAACACCGACCCCTGTGGAACACCGCTCGTGACGCTTCCCCACTTTGATTTCTCCCCATTTATGCAAACTCTCTGCTGCCTATTTGTCAACCATGCCTCTATCCAGGAAAAAATTTCTCTTCCTATTCCATGTGCTTTAATTTTCTTCAATAGTGTCTGATGTGGGACCCTGTCAAAAGCCTTACTGAAGTCCATATACACAATATCATATTCATTACCATGATCTACCTCCTCAAATACCTTAGTGAAAAAAGTTAATAAATTCGTAAGGCAGGAACGCCCCTTTGTAAAACCATGCTGAGATTCGTTGATTAATTTATGCTTTTCAAGGTGGCTACGAATTGCCTCGGCAATTATTGATTCCATAAATTTTCCCACTATGGAGGTTAGGCTTATTGGTCTATAGTTCGAAGCTAAGGACCTGTCACCTGTTTTGAAAATAGGTATCACATTTGCCATTTTCCACTTATCTGGCACCATGCCAGTTTGTAGTGATATGTTGAAAAGATTAGCCAAAGGTGTGCTAAGCTCCTCTTTACATTCCTTTAGAACCCTTGCATACAGTTCATCAGGGCCTGGGGATTTGTTAGGTTTTAATTTATCTATTTGCCTAAGGACCATGTCACTTGTGACTCTAATCGTGCACAGTTTATTATCGTCCGGTGGTCTGGTGGCTAAAGCTCCCGCTTCACACACGGAGGGCCCGGGTTCGATTCCCGGCGGGTGGAAATTCCGACACGTTTCCTTACACCTATTGTCCTGTTCACCTAGCAGCAATTAGGTACCCGGGTGTTAGTCGACTGGTGTGGGTCGCATCCTGGGGGACAAGATTAAGGACCCCAATGGAAATAAGTTAGACAGTCCTCGATGACGCACTGACTTTCTTGGGTTATCCTGGGTGGCTAACCCTCCGGGGTTAAAAATCCGAACGAAATCTTATCTTATATCCTTATCTTATCATTACTGGAATATCGCTGGTATCCTCCTGTGTAAAAACTGAGAGGAAGTATGTGTTAAAAATTCTACACATTTCCTTATCACTGTCAGTGAGCTGACCCGAGGAACTTTTGAGTGGGCCTATCTTGTCCCTGATCTTACTTCTGTATACCTGAAAGAATCCATTTGGGTTAGTCTTCGATTCTCTTGCAACTTTAACCTCATAATCTCTTTTTGCTTTTCTAATTCCCTTTTTTATTTCTCTCTTTAACTGAATATATCGATTTCTTAATTGCCCCACTCCTCTTTTGATTTGCCTATATATGCCTCTCTTTGACCAATCAGATATTTTAATCTATTGTTCATCCATTTAGGATCATTTTTGTTTGATCTGATTTCCCTATTTGGAACATAATTTGACTGAGCAGCTAGAACTATGCCCTGGAAAGCATCATATCGGCAACCATCACCACCTACCTGACCCTTAGTCAGGTCATTCCAGTTCAGCCCACCTAAGTAATTTTTCAGTCCTATGAAATCAGCCAAGCGAAAGTCAGGGACGGAGACTTGATTGCCATTATTAGGGGAATTCCATGATATATTAAAACTGAGTGATTTGTGATCACTTTCCCCAAGCTCATCATTAACCTCAAGATTATTAATTAGTGTTTCCCTACTGGCAAGAACCAAGTCAAGGAGGTTATTTCCCCTAGTTGGCTCTGTCACAAACTGTTTAAAAAACAATCCTGGATCGTATCAAGAAAGTCACCTGACTCTAAATTTCCTGTCAAATTGCTCCAGTCAATCTGTCTATAGTTGAAATCTCCCATTAGCACAACATTTTCGCATGTAGATGCCTTACGAATTTCGTCCCATAGAAGTTTACTGCACTCCCTATCAAGATTTGGGGCCCTGTAAATCACACCCAAAATTAGTTTTTCTCGGCCCTCGAGAAGCTGTAACCAAACAGACCGGGCCGCGGGGGCGTTGACCCCCGGAACTCTCTCCAGGTAAACTCCAGGTAACAATTTAAATTGTCTCTGACATACATCGCTACTCCACCACCTTTCCTGTTGACCCTGTCAGTGTGGAATAATTTATAGCCTTGTATGTGACATTCAGAGGGCATCTCTCTATCTTTCAGATTGAGCCAGGTCTCTGTTATAGCAATAATATCTATGTTTCCTGCACTTGCAATTAATCTTAGCTCATCTATCTTATTTCTTACACTCCTGCTATTAGTATAGTAAACCTTAAGGGAGTTAGTCCCTTGCTGCCCTCTGCTGTCCCCCTTTGTTTGCTGACCTGATCTATTGTCTTTATTTATAACTTCATGCTGAATGCCTTTTATACATTTACTGTTTCCAACCCTAGTGTTGCAACCTGCTTGTTTCCCACACACACCCATACCTCTATCTTCCATCAGTTTAAAATCATAGGCATTTCACCAATGGCCTTCTCAATCGAGTCTGCAAGTGCTACCACCCCTGCCAAAGAGAGATGTACCCCATCCCTTGCATACATATCATGTTTGCCATAAAAGTTGTTCCAGTTGTCAATGAATGGGATTGCAAGTTCCTTGCAGTATCTGTCTAGCCAGCAATTTACACCAATTGCCCTAGACAACCATTCATTTCCTACTCCCCTTCTAGGCAAGATGCTACATATGATTGGGATCCCTCCCTTAGACTTAATGAAATCTATAGCTGACCTGTACTTATCTAGCAGCTCTTCTCTCCTACCCTTCCCAATATCATTTCCACCAGCACTGAGACAGATAATGGGCTTGTTCCCATTACCTGACATGATATCCAGCCTGTTGACAATGTCCCCAACACCAGCTCCAGGGAAGCACACTCTATCTCTCATCTTATTCCTATTACAAAAAGCACGGTCAATATATCTTACCTGAGAGTCACCAACCACAAGAATGCGCTTACCTCCATTAGCAGGGGCAGTAGTACCCTTACCTTCACTGGCCACTGAAGTACATTCATCCTGAAGAACAGAGAAGCGATTTCCTACCTTCAGATCTTCACTCTTAACTTTCCTTACTCTGATGCGCCTCCCATTACTGTGAACCACTCGCCACTTGTAGCAGGTGCTGGGCTGCACCTCACTGCTGGTAGCCGTTGCTACCTCCCCCACTACAGCCTCCTCACAGCGAGAGACAGATTGCACCTCTCTGCTAGAAGCCTCATTCCCCACAACTCCAGCCACCTCACACTCTCTCCCAGACCCATTGAGGTGGACCTTCAGCCTCCTAATCTCCTCCTGGAGAAGCAAGACCTCCTCCTTCAACTCTCCAACCTCAATTTTTAAAACACTGGGAATCGGACCCGGACCCTCGCCGTGTGAAGCGAGAGCTTCTGCCACCAGGCCACCAGCCCTACCTCTCTGCTCCCTGGGATTAGTAGAACAGTAGGGCGTGTGATAGCCGAAATAGGAGATGGAATAGGAATCCAAAGAACCCTGGCAATTAATGTGTTAGGCAAGGTATGGAGAAAGGCACGATTAAAGCTTGCCGACTCACTCGTCCCGAAGCTTTGAGGAAGACGTAAGTGAGAGACAGAATCTCACGACTAACAGGAGAAGAGGTAATGACTAGCGACTCGCGCCCAACCGGCGAAGAAACTCTCAGAGATGTGTTCAAGAAGAATGGAACCGCCGACAAGAAAAAAGACAATGGTCAGAGATGTTGCAAGCAAGGAGACAGCCAGCAGTGAACGGCGCCACTAAAGTTCACCGATTCGATCCCAAGCTTTGAAGAAAGAGTAGTTGAGGTTCAGTGGAGAGACCAAGGAGGGGCGACTATAGATTAAAAGACTTCAACACCTTCCCCCCGCCTCCCGATGCAAACACTAATTTTATTTTTTTAATTAATGGCTAATTTTCACTGTATTATATTGACCAGTGACCACAACAGCGTGATAGTTTAAGAGAGTTGGGCGTTGGTCGCTACTAGACCAGAATCAGATATCCTTTACCTCAATGCACGCAAAAGGGATATTTGCGCCGTCACTAAATTTTAATGCATGATGTGAATGATGGGGTACACTCCACTTCCAGTAACTTACTTTTGTTGAGGGCGGTAGGGAAGGAGGTGCTTCATGGCTCGCCCGTATTTTGTGTTGCAGCATCCTGCTTCCTTGTGCTCTCTGTAAGGAAACAGACACTGTTAACATCATTTTCAGCCATTCTTATTGATGTGTACATACCTCATATGGTAGCAAGAGACCCAGGAGCTAGAGATCAAACTCCATCCCCAAGTTCAACCCCCTAGGAAAGTATGAGTTTTAGTTCTAAATTCTCAAGACTACTAGCAGCCGTAGTCAAGGAAATAAAAAACGACGGTTTAAGATGACAAGTGGATAATCAGACAATATTCTGAAGCGAAACCTTTATTAAACACAAAGAAACACCGCTAATAAAGAACCTATGTGGCTCTAGAATTTTTTTAAGGGGGACTCTTGGGGCCTCACTGGTTGAATGGGGGGGGGGGCGCTGGTTAAATGGGGGGGGGGGGGGGGTCGCTGGTTAAATGGGGGGGGGGGTCGCTGGTCGAGTGAGGAAGTTTGTGAGAACTCTTTGTGTTCGCAAATCTCACTGTTTTAACTGACATTGTATATTACAATTCAATTAAAATAGCAATGTTTTCCAAAGATACGTTTTATTCACACTTTTTAAGATTGAGAAAACAAAGACCCACATCAAAGAATGTGAACAATAATTACATGAAACTGCATCAACATATAACTTACCATCAAAATAAGGACCTTATTAATGTAGTAATATAACTTACCATCAAAATAAGGACCTTATTAATGTGGTGATATACAGGAAAATAATAATTATAATAACTATAATAACAAAACAAAATTAAGCGTTAAACCCGAAAAGGTGGATATATAAGTCCATAACAGATTCATTCTACCCTCAAATAAAATGTTCAGGGCCAACTGGACAACAGCAGTGTGAGTCGTCTCATGTTATAGTCGGAACTAAAGGTATCAGTCATCACATTCAACATTCAGACTTTTGGCTCCCTTTCCAATTGATAGATGTTACTGCAACATAGCTTGTTTTGCTGACACTACTGCTGTTCCTCAAGCAAGCTTTAGTCGCAAGCAGGAAAAGCTACGTTCCCAGGCTGCAGAATTAACTGTCAAAGTTACACTTATGCAGATCTATTGTATGGAAACATATGTTGTGAGCATAAGAGCAAATTCCAGTGGAATTGTGGCAGTATGACCCTGTTGTTTCTCTCTCTCTCTCTCTCTCTCTCTCTCTCTCTCTCTCTCTCTCTCTCTCTCTCTCTCTCTCTCTCTCTTTCTCGACACCGCACTTGATATACTCGACACTTAAATTTTCCTCTTTGACAGTATAGTTAAATGCCATCTCCAGAACATATGATTTCTCTAGAAATGAATCATCTTGAGGATTGTAGATAAATGGTTCAGAGAACCCACAAGTTAATAAATTAGACACATTTATCTACATTCCTGTCAGACACAGCAACATCTTGGGATCTTAATACAGGGAATTCTTCACTTGCCTAACCTTTAGGCATAACCTACTTCCATATTTGGATTTGTCAAACGTGATAACGCCTACGACTGTTTTACCTCACCTGCCTTCACTATATCAGCCACTTCTTCGTGCATATGCTGTGTTCCTTTCTAAATTGATGGACTGATTATATCGACTCAACGCTGAGGGACTGATTACCTCAAACTCCTCCTGTTCTTCACCATTCTTCTTTCTATAGACTGATGAAGTCACTCTGTGGTGAAACGTTTATTATCTTGAGGACTAACTAATGTCGAACCTTGTAGTATGTTGCATGAGCTGTTGGAAAATCACCTCATGTCAGGAAAGCAAGCACGTGAGCAGAATTCATTAGATGTAGACATTGTTTGACAATATCCAAGATGAGAATCAACACTGAGCTCCTGTAAATGACGTGACTGAGAGCGTTGTCATGCTTCTTGTTGCACAACAATGCCAGCTGCTTCATACAATTGAACTGCATCGTGCCAGAGACCCTACCATGATTTTTAACGGACTGACTTAACAAGAGTGACTCAAGAAATCGTAATGACACGATTGCAAACAAACCATACCCCCGGCCGGGATTGAACCCGCGGTCATAGTCTCAAAACTCCAGCCCGTCTAGTGGCTAACGCGACGGGCTGGAGTTTTGAGACTCTATGACCGCGGGTTCAATCCCGGCCGGGGGTATGGTTTAACAAGAGTCATAGCAGAAGCCAGCTGGAGGTGAGGCTACTGATGGTGGTCAGACAATGACTCCGATCCTTGTCAAAGGAGGTGACCAAGCTGACTTGAATAACTATAGACCAATATCTAACTTACCACTGCTCTCTAAAATCTTTGAAAAATTAATTCATAGACGGATCTATTCCTACCTCGTCTCACACAACATATTAAACCCTTGTCAGTTTGGATTCAGGAATAATAAAAGCACGAATGATGCTATCATACACGTGCTAGAACTAATATACACCGCACTCGATAAGAAAGAAGTCCCGCTGGGCATTTTCATTGATTTACGTAAAGCTTTCGATACAATTGACCATGAACTGCTGTATTCCAAATTAACGCACCTTGGTATCAGAGGCCACTCCCTCAACTATCTAAAATCATACCTTAGTAACAGAACTCAATATGTGTATGCAAATGATGCAAACTCTTCCACCCAACCAATCACAGTAGGAGTCCCACAAGGAAGCGTCCTTGGACCACTCCTCTTTCTCATCTACATCAATGATCTGCCGAATGCATCACAGCTACTCAAACCCATATTATTTGCAGATGACACTACATATGTCTTTTCCCACCCAAACACGGTCATACTAGCAAACACAGTCAATGCCGAATTGCAGAAAATATGTGCCTGAATGACGACTAATAAACTTACCCTGAATACCGATAAAACCTATTTCATTCAGTTAGGAAACAAAGCTGCAAATGATCCGATTAACACAACGATAAATGGATCATCAGTCACAAGACTCACAGAGGGAAAATTCCTAGGTATCCACTTTGACAGTAGCCTTAAGTTCCGGACAAAAATACAACAAATCACCAAGAAAATCTCCAAGACTGTAGGCATACTATCAAAGATAAGGTACTACGTTCCACAATCAGCTCTCCTGGCACTGTACCATACACTCATATACCCTTATCTTACATATGGAATTTGTGCATGGGGATCAGCAACATCTAATCACCTAAAACCCCTCATAACCCAGCAAAAGGCAGCAGTAAGAATGGTAACGAATTCCCACTCCCGCCAGCATACTCCACCAATTTTTAAAAGTCTGAATCTACTCACCATTAAGAACATCCATACTTATTCATGTGCCTACTACATACACAGAACAATACACGCAAATATAAACCCTCCACTCAAACTTCTCCTCACCAGCTTAACAGGACACATGACCACAACACAAGTCACAAATCTCTTTTTGATATACCTCGTATCCATATCACACTATGTAAAAACTCTATGCACATAAAGGGCCCTAAAATATGGAATTCATTACCAGAATATATTAAAGTAACCCAGTCTGAAAATCAGTTTAAGACTCATCTCAAAAGCCACTTAATCACCCTAGACTAAATGCTAAATATTCAATACACACATTCTCACCTATGTATTCCCACATCATAACTTCAACAATCACTTTGAACCTCTTATCCATTGTTGACAGGAATATAATTGAATCATTGTTTTTCACAATAAGCATTTTAGACTATATGAATATATCCTTTGTCTTATACAAATTTAATTCACTTAAAATTAATAACCTACTGTTCAACTATGAAATAATTACTGTCCTACTGTACAACTATGATAAAATCCTTAGTGTTAAGTAGTCTGTAAGCCAATAATGTTAAGTTGGCCCATAATGCCTTGGCATAATAGAGGCTCTCTTTGTATTGCAACCCACTATTGTAAATATAAAATCACAATGTACTGTTTGCAAAATGATCATGTGTGCCTCCGATGAGTGAGTCATGACATGTCGACTGCACTAGTCTCCTGGTATTGATTACATGCGGAACACAGTCTGGCCTTGAAAATCTCCCTGTTCCCTGCCAATACTTGGAGAAGGTCGCTTGCATCAGCCTCCTGTGTCGTTATTATACCTTTGATATACCTTCGATGAGTTCCGAGAGTTTTTCTACTTCAGGAGCCCAGTCTTGTGCCAGGCTCGTCTGGTGCTTGCCTGGTCTACCAGGCTGTTGCTGCTGGTGGCCCACTGACCTACATTGTTGTATTTGTCAAGGAAAGTCGCCTGACAAGGGTCTTAGTCTTACGCTCAGCCGTTTTTTCTGGAATGTGGGGAAGACATAGCAAGAATATGTGGAATGTGGTGTCTAACCTATCTGGTAATCTTCGGACTTATTGGCTAGCCACGGCTGGACTCAATGTTTTAATTAATTACTGTAGTTAGGTTTGAGTGGACATACATTTACCTTTGATATACCTTTGATGAGTTTCTAGAGTTTCTCCACACTTGGTCCCCGGTCTTAGGCCAGGCTCGTCTGGTGCTTTTCTGGTATACTAGGTTATTGCTACTGGCGGGCCGCTAGCCCCCATATCCATCACAGCCTGGGTGATCTAGCACTTGGTGGAGGTGCTTCCCCAGTTTCCTCTTGAAGACTTTTACACTTGTACCAGCAGTTTCTGATATCTTCTGGTAAGACGTTGAATATCTGGGACCAGGGATAGTGACTGTGTAAGCCACACGCTGATTGGACAGTAACTGCGTCAACTTCGCAATGATTGGACAATAACTTCACCCGGATTAGACAGTGAACGAGTCAGCTTCACTCTGACTGGAAGGTGAGTGAGTGCTTCTCACTCACCAAGTATAGATAATGACTTTTTGACTCACGAAATCAGAATAACACGATTGTAAACAAACCACGGTACGGGTGGGATTTAAACCCCCCACTGACCTGGAGTTTTACGACTCACTAGCCGTGGGTTCAAACCCCATCTGTTTCCTGGTTTGATAATAACTTTAGCTTCATCCCAGAGTCTGGACTAGAGTCCATCTCAGTGTGAGAAGTGTACGAGTGATGCTTGTAGTGGTCCTATATTATTGATGAGGGAGAAGAAGAG